GAGGTCACTCACAAATTCTGTCGCCTGGGCCAGAGCAGGAACTGAAACCTTGTACGCAAACAGAGACATACGCCTTGCTCCACCTTGCTTGACCCAGACAATCTTTTTGGAAACAACTACTTCCTCTGGACTCACTGGATTAAAGTTTTTCCTGTAGGTCTTGTTTTGTCCAGTTGCGCTGGTTGAAAATGGATCCACAAAAGTGTCAAATATGGACATTGCTTCATTTTGAAGCTGAGGGCTCCTCTCAGAGTGCCCATCAAAAACTCCCCTCATTCTCTCCCGGAGCACATTGATGAGAACAGCCTGATATTGCTGCACCCCTGAGATGATGTGGTTCACAGTTCTCTGAAAAAAGAAAGTTTTCATTTTAAAAAGCTGAACCAATTAATAAAGAACAAACAAGGTGGATATACCCAAGGTTGATATACCCAAACTTAAATGTATCCCACTTAAAAGTAGCGATATGTAAGATTTTCATGTCAAGTCATCATTAAAAGGGCCCCAATATGTCAAAAGACATTAATAAACCTGCTCTTTTCCAATACTTTAACAGTAGTTATCAGTTCAGAGATTGTTATTGTTTTCATTTTCATTTTCATGTCCCGCCCTCCACCGTTTCACCAATCAGAAAGTCTGTGATCCGAGTTGCCAGAACTCACAGCATCGAGCTAATCTCACTGGTTAAGTAACATGTGCCCGCAGAACTAAAGAAGGTGTTGTTAGGATTCTCAATTCGTTAATGACAAAACAAGGAATAATATAAGGATTTATATATCGGGTCCTTTATGAAAAAGGTGTTTGTATAGATTTTTTGTTGACCAAACACTGGTCTATTCAGCTGTTATGGTCCCAGCTAGATTCGTCTGCATATCTGGTAACTTGAGTCAGGGAGAGTGGGAGAGGATGCAGTACCACTTGTGGCCACATTTTTACATACTGCTCCTTAAAAACCATATCAAATTAAAATCTATAGATAATATATACAAATTATTGTATAATTGTTTGAAATATTGAATTCAAGTAACTATTCAAATGTAATATAGTATTTGATAATGACTATGGTTGAAAAAGTATTTAAAAATCTCACATTCATCAACTTACTTGTGACAAATGGCACTCTTCACGGACACTGAGACCAAGAGCAGCAGCACATCTGGTGGCACATTGCTGGTATAGTTGGTAGTGGAAGTTGATGGTCTCGCATCTTCATCCTTCATAGAAAACATGATTAATAGTGGGAAGTAACAGGGAAGTAAGCATTAAAAACAATTGCTAAAAGTATTAATATACATGTAATATTAAGCATAGCCTAGGATATATCTAAATGTTATACTTTAAAACGTGTATGACAAAAAAATTCAGGTACTTTTTAATATATTCGATACATTTTGTCTTCGTTTATGTCTGTTATACATTCAATCTACGTGTGTTACTTGGTGCTTATGTGGTCATGGTCAAACCATGGGTCAGACACAACACATTCATAAAGTTAGCATTGAGACTTACATTAATGACCACTTCGGCCTCAAACGTTTCATTCCGCGTCGAAACCAGTGGCGTAGCATTAGTCGTAGCTGGAGCGGTGGTTGTTGAAGAATCTGCAAAAATTGATACTCCAAACTTTTCCACTCCCAGCGAGCGCGATGTTGGAGTCGTTCTCCACGTAGTTGGCGGGACTCCATGTTTCATAAACACAGGGTGTGTTCGTTTGATGTGGCGAAAAAATTAGTTGAAAACACTGAAGTCCTGGTCACATCCATTAATTCAGCAATGAACCCAAAACTCTTGACTACGTCCATGTGCTGTATTGATGTGGCTAAGAAGTGTCTTCAGTGACAATGCTGCAAAAATAAGACAGATCATACACCTCCACAACGCCATGTCTGCGTGCGTTCGGGTCGTCTAGCTTCCAGTTTCCGGATGGATCCGGATATTCAGAAATTATATCTACTGACACCTAGCCTGTAAGATTCAATTTAGAAAAAAGGAGCTAGGAGGTAGACAGTACGTTACACTATATGGATCTGTCCTAATGATACGCGCATGCGCCGACCGCCAAATGTGTCTCCGTCATCGTCTTTGCTGTTTGCATACATCTCGAACCTGCGAGTGAATGTCTTCTTTTCCACGTTTGAAGTGACAAACCAAGGTCAGTATCCTACGCTGTCTTCTCTTTTCTAAATGAGGATAATTGTATCTCGTATAACACATAGACTGTATAACACCGGTACAATCGAACACATGCTGCGTTTAGTTAATTTTGAGTAGGCTAGCATGAACTAGCCTGCTAATGCCATGGCTAATGCTCGTTAATGCTGCGTCACGATGGCGTCCCGTGTATGGATCTATTATAATAACGGTCCGTGGTACAAGAAAGTTTACAGTCTATTGGTACAAGACATGCTAACAATACAGATCTTGTTAGGTCGTCCCTGAAGGAGAAAAATGTTTTTTTCCAATTTCATATAGACATTTTATGTTTATGGCTTTATCCTTTTTTTAACAATAAAAGACTGCGGCACTATGCAAAGAGTTTGAGTAGCCACGTGCGCTGCTAACTAGCTGTTAGCCTATAACTTTTTTTCTTTTTCCCCAGAGCCTTTGTGTTGAGACTGTAATTTCTAAATATGGCACTGGAGGGACTGAACGAGGGTATCCGTTCAGTGTTGGAGGGTAAGTATTTAAGGATGTTATACTTTTTGTTTTTAATGCAGTGCTCCCACCCAGACTGGGTGTCTGGGAATAATTTAGTGTTATGTGCTTCAGTTGTTCGATTAAAAAATCATTAGTTTTAATTTAAGTTTAGATCAAATTCTACATTTAGATGTAGTAGTATAGGCTGAGACTGGGGGTCCCGTGGTTAACAGAACCCCTGTCTAGAGAATGTGATGTCTACTGTCTTTGGTTATGAAATGCAGAGTGAAAAAGAAGAAAATTACCTTACTTGATTATGGCATAATTAATTCTTGAAATTACTAATGTCTTTTTTATACCTGTTCTGTTGCAGCTGCTAATATTGATGAAGCAATACTGACTACAGTCAATCGTGAGGATCTTAAAGACTTATTTCCAGGTGCTGCGGATTTTCTACAAAGGAAACAACTATGGGATTTAATCTGCAAAATGGTATTTTAAAGCATTTGCTCAAAATAAAGTAATTGTAGTTTACTATTATGTTTTCATACTCTCACAGAAAGGAAATTCTGACCAGAATGCCAACATGCATATGACTTAACACCATGCCAGTCTCAGAGCTCATCCCCCAGTTTGCCTCAGAGCTCATCTCCCAGCTCACCAACTACCAAAAGCATTAAACTGCCAGCTCCGCCTGAATATGTTGTATACACAGATTCAGAGTTGGATGTTGTGCGCTCCCAGTACTTTTCAATGCTCCGTGAAGGAAATGTGAGCGATTTTAAAATATCGAAGGAGCTCTGTTGCAGACTTGTTCGCAACACTATCACTAGCATGATCGCAATGCTACGTGCAAGTCCCTTGGGTAAAGAAACCAAATTACCTTCTAAACTGGAACTAAGACTAATGGCTCAGAAAATGGTGGATTACTTTCCAATGTTGCGTGATCCTGACCCACAAATGCCATACGTGAGTCTCCAGTAACCATTTATTTTCTATAAACGGACATTATTATTTTTGTTTTTGCAGTTGACTATCTACTGTAAAATGTTTAAGCGACTTCAAAATATGAGGTCTCCAAGGAAGAGGCAAGGTTCTGTTCCACAACGAGGGAAGGCGAAGAAGTCTCTATTTGACTCGGACAACACTGATGCAGATGGCACTACACATTCTTTTGACTCTGATTGTACCATACCTCTTGAGAGCCACGATGATCTCAGCGATGACAACCAAAGTGGTAAATACTTGTTTTAAAAAATTAGTAATGTTGCTATGTTGTTAATTATGTATTTGCACATTCTTCCAGCCAAGTGTTTCTCGCCAGAGAGATCTTCTACCCCTTGCTCCTCCAAACCGGTGGCTTCAAAACCAAAACCCAGAAATGATGGTATGGCCTTTGTTTTACCAAACTCTTTGATTGATTTTGATAAAACAAATGTTTAATTGTCAACACAATAATTAAATGTTGTTCTCATCCTTGGAATCTTGATTACTTCTGTAAAATTGCATTGTATGAACACAGATATGGACAAGTTTACTTTGCTTAATTTACTTCTGTTCTTAACTCATGACATTCCTTTTTTTATTTTGTATAGATAAACTGATTAAATCAAACATTTCAAGCGTAATGCCATAAACGTCTGGCTCATCATCCTCACTTGTGAAATCTAATGATAATGGTATGATTTTGTTTGTTTTTGTTGATAATCTTTGATTCACTTAACGGTTGAATCAAACTTATACCCAATTTAAAAACTTCAATAACTCATTCTATAAGGCAAGCTTTCGAAAAAGCATGTGTATTTGTACCACATATCGGCTCCCTTTGATTCTCAATACCCTCTGAATATGTTTTTTTATGACATTGTGTGGCAAACATATTTAGGAAGTAAATTAAATGTGCATCCTTAACCTTTTCTTCTGTTTTCAGCTGAAGTGGACAGTCTGAAAGTGCAGGCCAGGCACTATAAAACTTTAAGTGCAATGTATAAAAAAAAAAATTCAAACCCCAACCAGAGCGACGTTGCTCAAGTACTAAACCTAGAGTTCAAAGCACGTCGGGCGTTCATAGACTCAAATGTCACGCGTGAGGAAGAGAGGCCTGCAAAAATATTGCAAGCCTACCCATGCTTTAAGGACCCAAAACATGTAAGGCCAATTTCTTTGATAATTTGTAGATTAGGTGTTTCATTTGTGTTCATTTGTTTTAGGCTATAGATGAGCTGTGCAGGATTGTTGGGGGCACCAACACCAAATACCTCCTGGAAACCAAGGAAAGATGGTCAGATTTTTCAAAAAAAGTCCAATTCTTTGGAATTTGGAAAAAGGCCATGAAGCCTCCATTGCCTTTGGATGTTCATGGAGGTATTTTCAGGTTTTAACTTATTTGAACCATAGACCTGTTGTGATGTTCAATTTCTTTCAGCGGATTTTATGATTGGTGTCTTGAGCGCACTCCCTTCACTTTTCTCTTCCCCAGCTGTACCCCCCAAAAAAATGGCAAACGCTAGTGAATCTCTGATTCACATACTCAAGGTAATTTTTCCAAAAACAATCTTCTTCTAGATGGAGGGAGATTCTCTTGTGCACTCTAGTTAATTGATTTTGCTTTCTTCTAGTCTGAGGAGGACCCAGCCCTCTACTTGACAAAGCGTCCGCTATTCACACCACTACTACTCTTCGATGGAACAACGTGCATAATTGCAGTGGGCAATGAACCAATTTGCACCCTTCCGAAAGAGGACATTTCTGAGGCAATGTTGGTGATAATGGCCTACTACTACACATTGCACCTTACATATCCAAAGTGTGTTGCAACAGTCCTCTCGGTGATCCAGACAGAGGTAATCCTTGATGCTATTCATGAGCAAGATGCCACCTCTGCTTATCGTAAAGCAATAGCTGAATGGAGAACCTTTTTTTTCTCAAAGTAGTTAAACTGCTGACAAAGGTGACACTTTAAGTGGTCACAATCCACCGCAAGATTTGCGTGCGCTGCCATCTTGCCTGATGCCATTTTTGCATGGCTGCTGCCATGTAATAATGGCGGTGCATGCAGTTGCAGTGGATTTTATAGTCTTGTTTCACAATATTCTGAGATTTATTGTTCTTAACCTACGTTTTTTTTTTTGGATGACTGTTAGAACTTTAGTGCCCAGTATTGTTATTGTACATTTTATCAGTGTCATCTCCGGGTAATTGTTGAGAATGTTGGAAGTTGCTTTGATTGCAATAAATGTTAATTGCTTTACATTTTCTCTTTTTTTCATTATAGCAGTTATAGATCAGTCTTGTTTTGAAGAACTTGTTTTAAGATTAATGCTATTTATTTAAAGTAAAATCATCTTAGTTCAGGATATTAAAGTAACAATCTTAAGTTTCATTATGTATCTTTTTAGATAATGGTTTTAATTTTGAGATGAATGATCTTGATTCAAGATATTCTAGTACATTTTTTTACTTATTTTGAGTAATATCAACTAAAGATGGATAATTTATGTAAGGAGATTATTATTTTAGTACTTAAATTAAGCATATTTCACTCATAATGGAGTCTAAAATTTGGTGATTGTCTTGAAATAAGCCAAATACTACTAAATTTGATTAGCTTGTTTTAAGATATAATTATCTTAAAATAAGAAATCTTACCAAGTCAAATTATCTTGCTGCATGGACAGATAATTCCACTAGTTTCAAGTAGATTTATCTCAAAATATAGCAAATTTATCTTAATTTTAGGTACTCATAATTTGCAGTGTAGGTGTTGTAGTTAACAGACGTGATAAGCTACGATTCAAACAAAGACAGGAACAGTGCAAAACAAACGACTGCACAGTTTAAAAGTTATATATATGTTAGATATGCAACAGAACTCTAGTCCACAGTCTTCGCGTATATCAGGCTCTCCCAAACTACTTTTCCTTTGGTTCCCCCGAAGCGTGAAGCAGTCTGCTCCATAGTCCCTCGTCCATGTTCCCTGCAGCCGCTCTGTGCTTCCTTCCAAAACACAAACACGGACCAATCACAGCGGAGCTTCCTTGTGGCGACCCTTACGTAGTTAGAAAATTTCTATGCTGCGCGGCAGGCAACGTAAGGGCCTTGGGGTGACCAACGCGTTGCGCAAGTGACGTCACGTCACCTCCGCACCGCGCGAGTATACACTAGGCTTTAGAACATGACTTTTTTTTTTTGATGATATTCAGAATAGTTACTCCAACTCAGTCATGTCCAAACTCAGGCCCGTGAGCCAATGGCAGCCCTCTGTGTCATGTTAATGGCCCTCTGCTGCTAACCAAACGTCACCATAAACACAAGTTCACAGTGCTGTCCAGCCAACTTCAGCTCTGCCAACATGTTATACCCCAGTGTGAAGCTCAGGATCTCTAGAATCCAGATGTTGACTTTCTGTGACTACATATATTTGTTTTACATTGTATGACACTAATGTCGCTGAATGAGTAAATTTATGTCAATCAGCCAACGCTAGCTCTGTAGAATATGAACCATAGACATACCTCATTTAAAAGTCAAAATCCAGTCAGACTGTTTTTTCGGCCCCTGGACAATTTTGGTGAACTAAAAAGGCCCTCTTACTAAAATGTTTGCCCCTGCACTAGTTATTTAACAGTTGCTTTACACATTTAAAGCAATTGCGGCAGAATATTACAAGCTGGAGAAAATGTCGAACAACAATGAATCAAGTCGAGCCGAGTGGATACTACACACAACACAGAGCATCTGCTGCTCTTTGGGGTCAGTGCGAGAGAACAGCTGATAGAGTAAACACCGCAGCAACGAGACGTGCCACTACCTGCTCTCATCACCGGATTTATTGTAAACGTGAGACTAAAGTGCAGACTGAACTCTTTGCTCCAATGCACAAGAAAAGTTATGCTAAGCTGGCCATTGGTGCATAATGTAAACTTAATTTGAGACAAAAATGAAACTAAATGTAACTGGATGGCAATATTTATAACTGATCAAACAGGATTTTTAGAGTGAGGCAAATCAACACCAACGGTATATTTTACAGCTCAAGATATTATGCAAATAGAATACAGTTCTCTGATCGGAACATAGAACAGAAAGCCCTGAACAAAATACATAATGAAAGTATATTCTCCCCAACATTACACAATGTCAATTAATTGTTCATTACTTTAGCCCATTGGCTAAATTATAATTTCAAAATGTCCAACATGTTGTATTTGTGGATTCCTCTGAATGAGCGGCATGGAGGAAGTCTGAGGGATGAGGGAATTGTTCTTACTGGGTCACTATGTTTTTCTCTTCTTTCTCTTCATGCTGGTCTTGTTCTCTCGTGAAGTAAATATACCATTGGATTGTAGATTTCACATTATAGAAAGGATCAGGTTTTATTTGCAGGATTCCCTACAATAGTTTTTCTTTTCCAATTCTGAATCAATGCTCATCAAGAAGAGAAACAAAACCAAAGCAAAGAGCATTTACAAATGCATTGGAGACCAGAGACCATGGACAACAGAGCCACTCAGAAGAGCCTTTTGCACTGATCAACAACACCAGCCTCCTGTCACATGCACACACTTCTGTTCCTTTTGCTTTTATGTACGCCGCTTTTGTTTCTGCTTCCATCACCTCCGACACAGAGAAGACTGACCCGGTTCTGCAGCTGCACTGGCCAGGGTAAAGATCAAATTAAAAACATGCTTGACAGTGCCTATGGGAAATCTTTGGGAAATCAATGCAAAGGCACGGAAAAACTTTAGGAAATGAATGAATGAATACAGTTACAATAGGAGCTATAAACCAAAAAGTGCCTTCATGTAGTGATGGGATAATGAAGCCCCATAACACACTGAGACTTTCTTGTATCAAATGTTCAGGAGCCTCTGAGCTATCTCATACTGGGTTGTAATACTGACATCTAGTGGACAAAGCCTCCACGGAAATATCAAGTAATCTTTATTTATTTACCGCCTTTTCACTGCACATCGGAGTCTCTTTACAATTGTTATTTTTGGGAGTGGGGGTGCCAGTACAGCCCTTAGCAATCGGCTCCTGGGTTCAAATCCTGGTCGGACCAGGGCCTTTCTGAGTGGAGTTTGCATGTTCTTCCCATGTCTGCGTAGGTTTCCTCCGGGTACTACGGTTTCCCCTACCACTAAAAACATGCACAGTATGTCTGGCATGCGCCTCCTGTACTGGCGACCCCTCTCCCATCTCTGTGTGGAGTGAGAGGACAAATGCCCCCCAAAAAAAACATATATATATATATGGTCTGTGAAAGGCAGGAGATAAATAAAGATTACTTACTTACTTACTTACTGTTGTTGTTTTTGTATTGTTAATTGCAAAAGATAATATGCTTGCTGATACTTTTTATAAAACTTCAAGACTTGCTGATACTTGTATAAGAAACAACACATATCATGTATTCAGAAAAAGTTAGGTGCCTCAGCTTTAAATGAAATGGTATCTGTATTGATATGATTTTCAGTAATAAAAACACGTGACAGTTTTTCAGATTCAAAATCGTTGACTTAAACGTTCCCTGATTCCCGCCTAGATGTGCGTGATAATAATAACACATATTAGCATGCATAAACCAAGCAGTGCGGCTACAAAGGGGCTTGCACAAACATGAATTAATGCAGGGTCTTCCGCACAGGTGCACGACATGCTACGAGTGAGCGATTATACGCGCTTTGTGGCTGAGGTTGAAAATGCTGAGCACGGCCGGTTAATTCCTCTTTTGGATCAAGATGGCAAGACGAGGAAAAAAAAGATCTAAGTGACTTTGAAAGGTGCTGGTTTATGGGGCACAGATGGCGGATGGCAGATACAGTCACAAATGCTGCTAACTGGCACCACTTTGAATGGAGGGGCTGCTGGGATGAAAGGGGAAATGTGTTTAAAGGAAGGTGCGGCTGTTGAAAGTGCAGTGGATGTCTCAGAATGAACATAATTAGTGGTGATGTGTAAGAAAACAGGTGATTAGAGACCACATATCTGAATAAACTACTCACACTTCATGGCAAATAAGTCTAATTTTCAGCAATTTTAGTTCACCAAATGATTTACACAGTTCTTCGTGATAAACATAGCCTGGTCTTGCAACACCACCGTATTTAATTTCGTACTAAGGTCTGGATTTGCTCCATTGAGTTCTGTTAACAGGTGGGAGGGGTTATCTCCTTTAGCAGATTGAGAAAATTGGCTCTGAATTTACCATGATGTCTGTAATGAGTGAGGCATTTAGTATTTAGCCTAGCTTTAGCCATCTCCTTTGCCACTAAAGGAGCCCGTGAGTAGAGCCATAATAGGACATTTGCTAAACATTCCTCTTGCTCCAGTTTCAATTTCTTTTTTTTCTTTTTCATATTTGGAGCCGCCATTGCCAAACTACAACCAGCAAATTTGGCGCAAACTCTTGACGTCACCGACAACTAGTTACGGTTGGATGGGATACAACCGAGGTAACCCCAGCCACTATAGATCAGACCCAGACGTACATGTAGGGAAATAATAATTGACCAGAGTTTATGGATGGCTAATGCCTGCAGGCTATGATAAACACATCTTTTCTTTATTTATTTTCTCTTCAAAAACAAGAATAGACTGTGACACCTATTCTCTCGCAGCAGAATAATGTTAAACAGGGTTTCTCCTATAGAATAACGGGTCACGTCCAATCAATACAAGATGATGTGACCGATCACCTTTGCTGTCCGGTCCGCAGGCCTTTTCAGGGAGGACAATATCTATGGCTCACTGAGATCTGGGGTTACTGACTTTATCACAGCTCAAAATGGTATACTGAATACCTAATGTGCCAGTGGGTTTTCATCCAGAGATTAGAAAATGCAGATGGGATTTCTGGTGCTTGCGGATAGGGCTGGGCACCGTTAAATTACAAGTGTTAAAACCAGTGGGGGAGGGTCCCAGCTCAAAAGTGGCCAAAATG